TTTGTGTCTCTAATCTGAGAACATTAGCCTGGCTTCGAAGGTGCACATAAATCGAAACATGTGAGTATGATTGTTGAACATGCTCATTTCAATTTAAGATTGAGTTGGAGAAATATTTGGATTGTATCACATATTTTTTTTAAAAATTCACAGGGGTATTTGACAGCTCAGAAGATTTAAATAATGTGTCCCTCTTATCTCTTTGGTCTAAAGGTTTAAATTTTAGTTTTACTTTGAAATCTTTGTTGACATTCAGCATTATTATAATCATTTGGACAAGCATCTAATAAAATCACAAAACTAATTGTGCTTTTTTTTCTATAACTATGTGCTATGTTGTTTTGTTTTATCAGTCCTATGCTGCATTTACTTCAGATATTGTTTGTTCTTAATGAATTTGGAATTGTTGGGCTTAGCTTACAAGTGTTTTTTTTCTAACATATAGTAAGTCTTAAGAAGTGCTGAAATCTGTGTCTAAAGCGATAACTAATTTGGGGACTCAAATAAAAGCAAAATACTGCAGATGATGGACGTCAGAAATAAAAGCAGAAACTGCTTGATAAACTGAGCACGTCTGGCAGTAGCTGTGGGGAGGGAAGCAGAGTTAATGTTTCAAATGCAGAATGACTCTTTTCAGAACTTCATTTTGCAAATTCATGGCCTGGCATTTCTCCATTCGACCACTGCAACCAAGCTAGGCATCAACTATCTTTCAAAGAAAACTGTAATAGGTCCGTCAGAAGCAGTAACTATGTTGATCTAAAAATGAGATGCCAACCTACAAACACCCACTTACATAACAAACAGTTGATGTAGCATGCAATGGAAAGAACTAAGTGAGCCACATTCAATGAATTAAATACAAGATATCCAATATTGCCACAAAACAGTGGACAATTAAATGACTAAGAGGAAGGAGGACTCCACACATATTCCCATCCATAATAATGGAAGTATCCAGCACAATAATGAGGGAGACAAGTAATTTGCAAGTCTCCTCAATTTAAACAATTGTCAATCCTTAATGCATTTGGAATTATTGGGGTTAGCTTCCAAGTTTGTTTTCTCATATGTAGTAAGTCTTAATAAGTGCTGAAATCTGTGTCTAAACTAATTTGGGAACTCAAATAAAAGCATCAGCAAAAGGATTGAAATTGTTGTCACTAGTGTAATTAACTGGCATTCAGTGAGCAATAATGTCATCAGGGATACTCAATTTGGATTTCATCCAGAACCACTCAGTTCCTGGTTTCGTTAAAGCCTTGGTCCAAACTTGGACACAAGAGTTGAACTCCAGAAGTGAAATGAATGTGAATTCCCTTCATTTCAAGTCAGCATAGTGGCTTAGTGTTTAGCACAGCTACCTCACAGTGCCGGGAACTCTAGTTCAATTTCACCCTTGGGCGACTGTGTGTGTGGAGTTTGTACATTCTCCCCATGTCTGCGTGGGTTTCCTCTGGGTGCTCTGGTTTCCTCCCACAGTCCATGATGTGCGGGTTTAGTGGAATGGCCATGGTAAATTGTCAAGAGTGTCCAAGGATGTGCAGGCTGGCTGGATTAACGTTGGGCAATGCAGCAATACAGTAAGGATATGGATCTAGGTGGGATGTTCTTCAGAGTACAGGTGTGAACTCAAAAGGCTAAATGGCCTGTTTCCACACTGAAGGAATTCTATAATTCTAACAGTCCACATGTGGCATCCAGGAGCCCTAAGCAAATTACAATCAATGCAAATGGAGAGGAAACGTCTCCGTGGTTGAAGTGTTATGTAGCAGAGATGATTGTGGTGTTGGATATCATAGAAGAATCATAGAATCCTTACAGTGTGAAAACAGGCCCTTCAGCCCAACAAGTCCACACCGAACCTCAGTGCATCCCACCCAGACCCATCCCCCTGTAACCCACCTAAGCTACACATCCCTGAACACTATGGGCAATTTAGCATGGCCAATCCACCTACCCTGCACATCTTTGGACTGTGGGAGGAAACCGGAGCACCCGGAAGAAACCCACGCAGACACGGGGAGAATGTGCAAACTCCACACAGACAGACACCCAAGGCTAGAATCGAACCTGCGGCTATAATCTTAATGCCATGTGAGCAATGCAGCATTCATGTAATGTAGTTTCCAGGCCCAATCATCTTCACAGACTTTATGATTGACCATTCCTTCATTAAAAGTTCAGAAGTGGCAACGTTCTCTGATGATTGCACAATGTGCAGCACCATTCACATCTCTTCAGACTCTGAAACACCTCAAGTTGAAGAAGCAAGACCTTGCCAACATGAAAACTTGGGCTGATAAGTAGCGCATAACAATGGTTACTTGTTCAAGACAACAGCAGCCTCCATCAAGAAATAATCCAATTAGTTCTCTTTGACGGGCAATGACTTCACCATAGCTGAATATATCCTACACAGTCAATAGCCTGAGACATGCCATTGAACAGAAACCCAGATGAGCCAGATATGTGAGTAAAATACCCACATGAGTAGGTCAGAGGCTTGTCATTCTGTACAATTAACTTGCCTCCATGCAACAGCTGTCCACTATCTGCAAGTCACAAATCAGGATTGTCATGTCATATTCTCCACTTGCCTAGATGATTGTGCTCCAGGAACACTTAAATGTTTCGACACGATCCAGGACAAAATAGCTAGCCTGAACTCAATTTATAAGAATGGAGCTGGAACAATTTGGGGATAGGTTATAGCAGCTGAATTACCTATTTACAAGCTAGAGCAAGTGTTGCAATGAATTACAGTAAGTTTTAGACAGTGAAGAATTCAGCCCTGCTTGTTTTTTGATGCAACAATACTTTGGTTAACAGCTAAACATTGCTCACTTTTATGTGTGATGATAATGTGGATTTAAAAGGTCAGTTTCGTTTAGAGAGAGATTGGTTGACAGCTGGCAAGCAATCTATGAGAATACGAACAACTGTGAGGACTTGGGTCTTTTTTTAAAAGTTCATACCACAGAAGCAGCATGAGTGGGTGTGGTCAAGCTTTCACAGATCCAGCATTTTTACTTGACTTTTAGCAGTTGTTCCTGGGGTATCAGCTGGATTTGAAGGCAGTGAATCTCTCCTGGCTGCATCCCTCCCTCTCTTTTCGGTTTTTCTTTTGATGTTCTTTCCTCCTGGTTTGGAGAACAGAATATGAGACAATCTGTTTCTGAATTTGCCGTTTTACCAAGGGAATGTCCATGTGATGTTACTATATTGGAAGATTTAATCTGTAGCAGTAAAATAATCTAACATTTTGTCAAGGATTCCAATCAAGTTAAGTTATTCCAAGCTCCTCTTTCTGTATTGTATTTTAACTACTATGCTTGAATAAACTGTGGTTTGCTTAATGTTGAGTAGTTTGACAAATCAAATGGTATCTACAACACAGCACCTTGCATTTACCTTTGAACTAAGAAAAAAATAGGGTCTAGGCTACTTTCTTACCATATTTTGAGGCCATCTGGTCTGGTCCATAACAATCGAGACTGAGAAAAGGAGGAAGGATGTGAGCTGCAGACAGCAGGATTTGATTCAATGGTAAGGAAATCACAAATGATTTCTCATACAGCACCTTAACCACTCAGCCCTGACCATAGATCAGCTCCCCACTTGATCGGCACTCCACCCACAACTTTCAGCATACATTCCATTCCATTCACTCTTAATGCATAGTAGCAACAGGAAGCACTATTTACAAGACTCACAGTAGCGCCATTGCTCCTTTGACAAAATCTCATATTTTCTACTGTCTTCGAATGACAAGGACAGCAGATAGTCATAGAGTCATAAAGTAATACAGCATGGAAACAGGCCCTTCAGCCTACACTGGTCCATCCTGACCATGGTGCCCACTCACCTAGTTCCAATTGCTCGCATTTGGCCCATATCTCTCTAAACACTTCGGTCCATGTACCTATCCAAAATTTTTTACTGTTGCAATTGCACCTGCCTCAACCACTTTATCTGGCAGCCCATTCCTGATACACACCGCTCTCTGTGTGAAGAATTTACCCTTTCGGTCCTTCTTAAATCTCCACCCTCACACTTTAAACATGTACATTCTAGCTTTCAATTCCCCATCTAAGGGGAAAAGACTATATGCATTGAAATACCCACAAGTTTCCCTTTATAAGTGCTAATTAGTTGGCCAATCATTTCTGACTGATGGATTGTTGGCATAATGGAAACTATGGATTGTCAATTCAGGAAAAATGCTAAGCATAACTTTATTTCCTTTGCTTACAGCTCCTCAAAAGGTCGTATGAAGCTTTTAGCGAGCAGCAATAAACACTTTCAGATGGGTCTTGTGGTGTGTTGGTAGTTCCCCTGTGCTGTATCCACGAGGTATTTTTGGACTGAAACTGTATCCTGTCAGTGAAACATGCTACTTGCAAAGCTACTGCATATTCGAAGCATTAACAGCTTGCTTAACCTGCCATCCACATGTTAGAGATCGTTTGCTCTTTTAAACCATTTGCAATAGAGCAGGCACCCCTTAAACTCGGAAGTGGAGGCCTTTGGCACAATTTATATGATGCACAACGAATAATGATCTGACCAGAATTAACAATGTCACGCACAAAATGGAAATACCTAACGGTGCAAGATGGTACTATTTTCGTTAAATCGGGTCCTGGATCTCTGGTAACTCCACATGCTGTGGTCATGAATATCCACTCTAAATTTTCCACTGGAAGACTGAGAAGTTCAGAGGATCCATCAACTTCAAGGATTTCTCTGTGCGCAAATGCTGACTGGCTTTCCACATCTTGAGAGCTCTTTCTCAAAGTAATTGGATTGATAGTACACAGGTGACTACGTTTGCAATTATTTCCTTCATGAGTCTCATGTTGACTAACGTGACGACGTGTTTTCTTAAGGGACTAGCCAAATAATATGTTGATATTCAACAGAGAGATTGAAGTTGATTGGGCACACATTATCGCAATTAACGAAAACCGCTCGAACTTATAAAACACAGTCACCCTACTGTCAACCAAGGTTAGCTACTTGCCCTGTCAAAGATGCATTATTGGTTCCTTTTAGTGGTAATTTCTGCTATTGCCGTGGCATGGCCCAATAATGAGCAGGCTTGCAAACGTTGGGGTAGGTTTGATTTACTGGGCTTGTCGAAGGATGGAGATGTCATGTTGGGAGGAATTTTTTCATTCCATTACCACGTTGAGTATCCGGACCTCTCGTTCAGCAATCACCCAGGGCCAGCAAAATGCCTCAGGTTGGTGGGTGCTGTTAGATGCTTCATTTTGGAATGAGGGATAATTATTGGTTAAGGTGCTGTGAGAACTCATCTACTCATTTTTCGAAATGCGTAAATCGGGTCAAAGAATGAAGGTCGGAAATCCCCTGAATGTTTTATTGAAATTGGGCACATAGCCAGGTATTTTGCCTAATATTAATTAAGATTTTGTGGTCTAGGCTTGGCGTTAGGATGTAGATCCAATAACTTCCAGCTTAGAGACAACGGTGGTATTGCCGAATTATCTCCAATAATAGTTATACTGTGAACCACTCTGATATAATTGTGTCGTTGCTTTCTGTGCTTTTTTTGTTTAAATCTTGTTTTTTTTCCGCCTTCTCTGCAGCTTTTGGTTTCGTCCTTTCCGTTTTGCACTGGCGATGATTTTTGCAATAGAGGAAATAAATAACGATACAGCACTGCTTCCCGGCGTCACTCTGGGATACCGCATTTACGATTCTTGTGATTTGCCCCAGTTATCGTTGAAAGCAGCTTTGGAGTTTCTAAACAGTCCCGAGGCAAACACGTCCTCTGATAACTGTAAAGACTCCTCCATTGTTTCTGCGATTGTCGCTGATGCTGGATCCACGCAGTCTTTAACAATAGCACCTCCTATCGGTGCCTTCAGAATCCCAATGGTATGACGTTTAATAACTCGGTTATGCAGAATAAACAGATTTGCGTCAACTGCATGCGATGTGATGTTGTTTGTGTCATTGAATCCATCTATGAAAAGTCCAGAATTTTTTTTTTTTTTTTTGATGATCCAGACAGACCAGAGTCTTTATTTACACTCCAACTAGAACGTTCAATCAGGATGGTCAGATTGTCCAGGACAATGACTGTTGGATTTTTTTTGGTTAGGCATAGTCATCGCTTTATAACCAGGTTATTATTATTTTTCTTCAAAGATATTGCTTCGAAAGTCTCATTTCAGAGATCTGGTGATGAAAATAAATAAAACATGGTACACGAAATTTTCAAAAATGATTACAAGAAAATTAACAAATTTAGTTTACTTTTATTTTTTGCAGGAGGTGCGAGTAGTGCTGACAAAATCAATATTTGTTTCCCGTCCCCAGTAACCCTAGAGTTTAATGTCTTCTGAGAGCAACTGCATGTGAGGTTAAGGGTGAAATGTGCGTATTAAGCCTGCTCAGCAGGAAAGAAAACGGTCAAAATAATGCTAAACGACAGAACACAGAATTATGTTATGCACTGAAATAAGTCTAATTTAAACGATAAAATGTTTTCAGCCAAGGCTCACTGGGGCATGCGTAATTCATGGCTGAGAGACAGTGAGCTTAACGTTGGTTCCTGAAACCAGATGAATTTCTTCAAAGTTCAACTTCGCAAACTTAAATAACAGATAGTTGTTGAAGATGTTGTTAAAAGACGAAGGTAATGGATGGAGAACTATTTCAATTTTGGCAATAATATAAAGCAGGTCATGTAGAATTTGTCGCATATGCTATATGTTGCTTGAATATTCCCTTTAATGGCAAGGGACAAAAGGAGAGGCGACTGCGGACTGTCAGTGCGATGTTGCACAAAGTTTGCATTATCCCCAAGTAACCTGTAGAAAAACAGAGGAGGAGACCTTTTTAATGATATTCTTCATGTTAAGTTGTGAGAACAGGACATTAAGCGTGTTGCAGCTAGAACAATGTGAATCAAGAAAGAGCAACGCTTGGAATGAGCACTGAGAGAAAATATTTGAATGGGGCGTTTTGAAATTATGAAATAAGTAGTTTATTATGCGTGTAAGTTGGGCCACTCCTGTAAGCACGATGCGAGTTGGAATCTCTGTTCTTCTCAACCGATATCTATGTGTAGATATCACTAACAACAACCACAAATTATAATGGAAACGCAAATGTGTTTTTTCTTCTTTCTTTGTGACAGGTTAGCTACTTTTCTACCTGTGCGTGCCTAAGCAATAGAAAGAAATATCCGTCATTTTTTCGAACTATACCGAGTGATTACTATCAGGCTAGAGCATTAGCCCAGCTAGTGAAACATTTCGGATGGTCATGGATCGGGACAGTTAAGAGCGACGATGACTACGGGAACTTTGGAATGCAAGCATTTGAAGAGGCGATACAACAATTAGGCGTTTGTATCGCCTTTTCCGTGTCGTTCATTAAAACGTACACTCGAGAGAAGTTATTGAAAACAATTCATACCATACAAAATTCTTCTACAAAAGTTATCGTTGCTTTTGTAGGAGAAGCAAGTATGCGTGTTCTTCTAAGAGAAATGATTAGACAAAATGTCAGCGGCATCCAATGGATTGGAACCGAATCCTGGGTTTCCACATTGCTTCTTCCTCCGGAGGACAGTAAAAAGATTGCTTCTGGTGCAATTGGGGTGACAATTCGCAAAGTCATCATTCCAGGGTTGAGAGAGTTCCTAATGAAAGTTCACCCATCCCAGTATCCAGGGAACCTCTTAGTGAAAAAGTTTTGGGAAAGTTGTTTCGGCTGCACTGTACGTGATGAAAACAAAACAGATCCTCGAAAAATTGAACCAGAGCTTAAAGAATGCACAGGAAGAGAAAACTTACAGAATATCCAAAACGAATTTACTGATGTGTTGCAATACAGAGTGACTTACACCGTGTACAAAGCAACGTATGCTATAGCTCATGCACTTCACAACATGGCGTCATGTAAAACTGGGGAAGGGCCTTTCCCCAATGGCAGTTGTGTAAGTGTTTCAGATTTTCAACCATGGCAGGTGAGGAACATTTAACGTTGTTTGATGACTATATTTACATATCTATCCAATGTAACCGAATTCACGGTTGGATATTTGCAATTGATGTAAATGTGTTCCGACTTTGATTTTTTTTTTAAGTTACTACGTTACATGAGAACAGTGAATTTCACAACCAAGATTGGCGAAAAGGTTTATTTTGACGAAAACGGAGACCCTGTCCCTACATATGACATTGTAAACTGGCAAACAAATGCCGTCGGTGATATTGACATTGTGAATGTTGGGCTCTATGATGGGTCAGCTTCTGGAGAAGAATTTTCAATCAGAGAAGAGGCAATTGTTTGGAGTGGTGGGCAGAAGTCGGTAAGATTTATGGAAACAGTCCTTCCGTTAAAAAAAAACTGCCTGATGTTTAAGTTCAATTTCATTTATCTGAAACGAAAAAGCAAATTGGTGTTTGTTGTATCAACTAGGCACCTATACGCACTATTGCCTATTCCTGGCGTTGATTAAAACTGCTGCCTATCAAGCATTTTTAAATAAACATCTTCTGCTCACCAATTCGAAAGTCGCTTTGCTGAATTAAACCTGAATGTAACAACAGAGACATTTTTACTTCCATCCATTTCAACAGTAGGAAGTATTTACAGATAACAGATGTAGTTAGAAATGACAAAAAAACTAAGACACTGCAGTTTAAGCACGAGTTATAAATGTAACTATACCTTAAATGAGTCAACGAACGAATCAATGTATGATCAAAGTGGTAAAAATCCAAACAGACTGAAATGTGGTTGAAGAGGTTTGAAAAGAAATGTTCAGAAAGCAATGGATCAATTAATTTGAAGTAGCACCTACAAGATACGCTGCAGTGATTCAACAATGCTTGTTAGGCAGCACATTCCAAACCCATAGCCAACTCCATGTAGAAGAACAATAGCAAAAAAAAACCATGACAACACCACAACCTGCATGTACCCCTGGCAGCCACTCATCCCCTTGACTTGGAAATATGCCTCAGTTCTCCCCTTATGTTTGTAGGTCAGTCTAAAGGAAAAAGATTGCACCAGGTCAGGACGGTAGCTTAAAGACAAAAGGGGATGGGCAATAAATGCTGGCCTCGCGAGATCTGTTCACATCACAAGATATTTATTCTAACAGAGATAGTAGGAACTACCGATGCTGGAGAATCTGAGACAACAAGGTGTAGAGCTGGATCAACACAGCAGGCTCAGAGGAGCAGGAAAGCTGATGTTTCGGGTCGAGACCCTTCTTCAGAAATTTATTCTAAATTTGGTTTTCATTTCAGCCGTCAAACAGTATTACTGCAAAATACATATGATTAGATTCAGCTCATTCCTTGCTTCCTTTTTCAATAATAAATGAATCAACTCATGAATCATGAACGTTTTTATGAGAATTTGAATTCACTAAAATTGTCCTGGTTCTGCAACTGCAAAACTCTTCCAAGCACTTTACAGCAGCTTTAAACTGGGATACGATGAAGTCACAAACCATAACATTTCAAAAAAGACAGTCCCAACAAATGTAACAGAAATAGCTATTACTCTGCAAATTTGACTGAACGTTGTAGATTTGCCACATGGAAATACTACTATTTCTCCACCATTGTATTCATATTCATAACCAGGTTCCTAAAGCTGTTTGCTCTGAAAGCTGCCATCAAGGAACAAGGAAAGCCGGAAGAAAAGGACAACCTATTTGCTGTTTTGATTGCATACAATGTGCACAAGGTGAAATTAGTAACACAACTGGTAAGCAAACACTGTGGCCAAAGACATTTCTGCTTAATCTTGATGTTGCATTGTACAGGCATTAAGATTCCTCCCATAATCATGAAGTCTTAACTTGCTTTTTAGATTCCATTCATTGCACAAAATGCCCATTGGAATTCAAGTCTAATGAAAGACGGGATCAGTGCATTCCAAAGGAAATCGAGTTTCTTTCCTTTTTCGAGACAATGGGAATCATTCTGGTGACACTGGCGCTGTTGGGAGCCTGCACAGCTGTTGGTATATTCGCAATATTCTACGTTTACAGACACACTCCGATTGTTAAAGCTAATAACTCTGAGTTAAGCTTCCTTCTTCTTCTTGCCCTGACACTTTGTTTTTTATCTTCAATTACATTTATTGGTGAACCTTCAGTTTGGTCTTGTATGTTCTGCCACGTAGCGTTTGGTATTAGTTTTGTTTTTTGCATATCTTGTGTATTGAGTAAAACTATTGTCGTGGTGATGGTATTCAAAGCAAAATTTCCTAACAATAATGTGATGAAATGGTTTGAACCAAGACAACAACGGCTGATGGTTTACATCCTTACTCTTGTCCAATGCGCAATATGTACTGCCTGGTTAATTGTATTCCCGCCTTATCCTTTAAAAAACACTAGTCATTCTAATGAGATAATCATGTTTGAATGCAATGTAGGATCTTCGTTCGCCTTCTATTGTGTGCTCGGCTATATTGGATGTCTGTCCTGTGTGTGTTTTCTGGTAGCTTTTCTAGCTCGACAACTTCCAGATAATTTTAATGAAGCTAAACATATAACGTTTAGCATGCTTATCTTTTGCGCAGTTTGGATAACTTTCATTCCAGCTTACATAAGTTCACCAGGAAAATATGCTGTGGCGGTTGAAATATTTGCTATTTTGGCCTCGACCTTTGGTCTTCTTTTTTGCATTTTTGGCCCAAAATGTTATGTTATTGTTCTGAAAAAAGAAGAAAATACAAAGAGGAATATGATAGGCTCAGTGGCTTCCAAAAATACTTAAAAACATTTGTAAATGAGGACGGGATACTTTAGTAGGTCATTATTTTGTCAGAAAGCTAGTAAATGGGAATTCCACGTCGAGAGCCGTAAATCCGAATATTTTGCCAGGACACATTCTACGCAATCGAATAAAGCCATAATGGCCTGCAGTAAGTGTAATTTTGAAGATGAGTTGATAATTTTTACTATTTCATACATCTCCCCCGAGTTTCCTTTAATCAGAATTGAAAATTGTGTGCGACATTTTATTATTTAAATTTGGATTAAAGTAATTTTTTGGTTTCCTTGTCGTGCCTCGAAATTGTTTGGAGTGTCAATTTGAAACTTACTTTATCTATCATAAAATTCCTGTTCTGAAACTTTCCCTATTCCAGTATACAAAATGGATTGCTCACATCGTTTAAACAAAGTACATTAACAAAAATGCTGTCACTGTGCTAAATTGGCATTGAGGGGTGTTGGTGGTTTGAGGGTGGGGTGATGGCGGTTCAAGGAAGAGGGGAGGTTTTGGAATCTTTGAGTTTACCATTTTGGCTTTGATGTGGAAAAGTGGATATTCAACCTGTTTCAGAAATAGTTTTCTATTCATATTCCACAGCAGCTCACGAATGATTTGCTTCTCCTGTTCTTAACGGTGAGGTATCTGTAACGTGCACTCACTAACCAACAGGCTTTTCTATGTTAATTTAATTAATATGAACAACATTCTTTCCCTTGGCATATTTGTGTATTTTCTTACAGAGCTGCAGTAATTCACTTCTGTATTGCACGTTAGACATGTTTACCATCTAATTTACAAAGTCATTCCTGAAATGGTTGTCCTTTATATAGACTACCACGTACTGCATGCATAATTTTCTACCTTTATTGAAACTAATAGAAATTACAAATAGGTGTTTTCAACAGATTTATCTATTATCCATGCACATTACCGACAATATGTCCGTGGATGTGAATTTTTTTGTTCAAAATATAGGTGTCAGAAGTGTTGTTTCATCGTCGGCAAAATTAAAGAAACCATTTATTAAATACAACATGGTAAATATTTGATGAGAAATAAAATCTTTCATGGTGAACAGAGTTGTTTTATTTGGAAGTCGTTCTTATCTAACCTACTCATTTCCTTTGAACTCAATTCCATGGGTGGGAGAAGTCAGCAATCCTGGATGCGAGGACAACTGTAGGTCTGTTTTATATCATGATCTTGGGGGAGGTGAGTAGTATAGGAGAGTTGAGCGGTCCTTAGAGGATCGCAGATCCTGAGATGGAGGAATGTTACCTTGGGAATTGGGCTGTTGGATGGTAGTATTGCTGTGGTGCATGCTCCTGCATATTATCATCCATCAGCATAGAAATAATTTTGCCTCTATAATTTAGCAATCATTGCCTCACTTTAGCTGTCAGTCTTCTAGGCAGCAGAGGAACGCCTGCCAACCATGGCTGAAGTTGGTAGAGAGGTATATTATAGCAACTAAACACGATAACGATATTTGAATTTCAGTCTGCCTTCCAGGCAGTTTAGTTATCAGAACTTTCCACGACCAAATTATGTTTGATGATTTGATCAGACGTCTTTAAAGATGGAACAAGCAGACTGTAAAAATGGGAACTAGTTGATGTGGTGCATGTGGATGTCCAAAATGCTTTACATAAGATGGCATATAAAAGGTTATTGCACAGGATATGAGCTCATTGTGTTTTGAGTGATATATTAACATGAATGCAAGATCAGCTAATTAACACAACTCATAATAGATAGGCTATCTCCAGGTTAGAATAATTGTAACGAATGGGATGATCTTACAGTTATTTATAATATATATTAATAGATTATTCGAAGGAATAGAGTGCGCTGCAGACAAATTTGCTGAAGACAAAACAACAGGAAAGCATTGTTGAGGCATCAAATTTTTGGACAAAATATCTACAAAGGAATGTTGGCAGATTAAGTGAATGCCCATATGCCGAAAATCAATGGGCCACTTTCAGGCTCAGGATGGTTGAGTGGCAATTAACATGCATATCACACAAATGTCAAACAATTACTTGCTTCAACAAAACAGAGCTCAATCATCACCCCTTACATTTAATGTTACAATTGCTAAATACTCCACTTTCTGCACCCTGCATGATATCATTGGCCTGGAGATGCTACCGAAATATTATGCTTTTAGACGCTATATATTCTGAGTAGAAGAACTCACTCCCTGATACCCCCAACTCTTTTCACCAGACGTGGAGAACGATTCAGGTGGCTGATGAGGCATGCTCACTTTGCTGAGCAGTTCAACTCCAAAAGATTCAGCTTGCTGAATCTGAACCAGCCCACTACAGGAGCAAATTCGCTTTCTTACTTCTACACCCTTGCCTCCGAAACATACACACTTCAATCTCTCGGTACTTATCTGATTTCCTTTAGAAGCCAAAAAATGTATTTGTCATAATGTCTGCATTAGCTAGTGCATTCCAGATTCTAACCACTCGCTGCATAGAACATAAACTTTCCTGATGCACCATTCAGTATTTTGGAAATATATTGTTGTTCATTTACTATTGCTAGTTCACAGACATATAGATTTTTCTGACATTGTAGGCGGTATTGTCTACACTATAAAATGCACAGTACTTTAAGAGAGTGATTCACCACCAACTTCTCAAGTATGGTTTAGGATAGCGAAGAAATGATGGTTTTTCCAAGGATGCCCACATACCAGAGATTAATAAAATATATATCGAAACACTGCACAAATTATATTGTTGCATTTCCCATTAATCATAGAATAACACATCGCAGAAGAGGAATGTTTGGATGAATGTACCCTACCAGTCTTTTAAAGCCCATTTCCTTGCTTCTTTCTGATAATCATGAAATGTTCTCCACTTCAAGTACTCATCCAATTCTATTGTGAAGTTTATTGTTGAAACTGCTTCCACGACCACTTCAGGTATTGCATTCAGGATCATACGATCTATTTCTTGAAAATAAACGTTTCTAGTTGCTTTAATGCTTGTCTTAAATTATGTCATCTGACTATTTACACTTCTGTCACTGGAAGCAGTTTCTCCAATTTATTTACCTAAGTCTCCATATGATTTTGATTTCTGCTCAAAAAGCTCACTTAATCTTCAATGCTGAAAGGAAGAATTCCTTCTTCAGCTGTGTCTCCACATTGGGAAGTCCAATGTCCCTGGCTCTTATTGTCGTAAATTTTCTCTGCATCCAAATCTTGATGGTTCACTTAAGTGTGGGATGAATTTCTCTAGTCATATCCACTTTTGTATGGTGCAAGTCAAAATTCCATTTGAAGGAGAATGTTGAGAGCATGCTCAGATCCAAATTTCCTTTGTGGAAAACTTTAATTCTGCGTGCAGTTCTGGTCTCCCTGCTGGAGAAAGGATGTTGTGAAATTTGAAAGGGTTAAGGAAAGATTTACAAGAATGTTGCCAAGGTTGGAGGGTCTGAGCTATAGGGAGAGGCTGAATAAGTTGGGGCTATTTTACTTGGAGTGTCGGAGGCTGAGGGGTGACATTGTAGAGGTTTATAAAATCATGAGGTACATGGATAGGTAAATAGAGAACGTTGTTTCCCCGGGATGGGGGAGTTTAAAAGTGAAGGACGTAGATTTAAGGTGAAAGGGGGAAGACTTAAAATGGAACTAATTTGCAACGTTTTCATTTAGAGGGTGGTGTATGTGTGGACTGGGCTTCCAGAGGAAGTGGTGGAACTTGGTTGTTTTGCAACATTTAAAAGGCATCTGGATGGGTCTATGAATAGGAAGGTTTCAGAAGGATAAAGGCCAAAATGCTGGAAAATGGAAAAAAAATTATTTAGACTATCTGGTAGGCATGGACGAGTTGGAGCGAATGATGTGTTTCAGTGTTGTATATCTCTACTACTGTATGAAACTAATTCTGCTCAGTGAAAGTGGAAGGGTTTAAAAAGTCATTTGGAATAGTTCAGAGGTCACTGAAAAGCTTATCAAAGCAGAAAGACATGAACTGAAGGCCCAAAAACATGGGGGAGAGAGAGAGATGTACACTCCATATATCTGACTAAGACAATTAACTGTACTGTTGGCTGGGTAGCCAGACGACACACGTTGGGGACTCAGTGAGGAGTCAAAAAGGTTGGAAGACTGTGCTGTTCATATAGCCCCTAGAGTGTGGAAACAGGCCATTCTTCCCAAAGAGCCCACACCAAACCTCCGAAGTACATTTCACCCTGACCCGATCTCTGTATGTACTGGGAGAATGTGCAAACTCCACACCGATAGTTGCCCAAAGTTGGAATCGAACCCAGGTCCCTGGTGCTTTAAGGCAACAGTGCTAGCCAGGCAGAAGGAACTCAAGAATTGGTAATCCACTAAGGTTTGAAGTCTAAACTCAGAAGAAGTCTGGGAGAATTCTAAATTTGGGATAGTCACTGGCTCTCTGCTGAGGGAGGTTGCGAAACTAGGTGGTGGATCATGCCTCTGGGAAATGATGCTTTAGTGCAGTTGAAAAAATGGTGTTGAAAGTTTGTCAGCAACAGCGGTTGTCAGGTGAAACGGAGTAAAATAAGAGATTGGGGAATAATCCCAGGAGCAGATCTGGTTCAGTGAAGCTACATGTCATTGAAGAATTGGAATTATCCTTATGAACGAGTACTGGAGTACAATCTCTGCATCCAGAGGAACATGAACCCAGGGCATCAGTATGTATCACCAGGACAGAGCATTCATTGAGGCAGTCCGTGTTGCAGCAGATTATGACATGGACTTTGAAGGATGGATCACCAAAAATGAAGAATTGTAATTCCTTGTGAAGTTTCATTAGAATCTATTATCAACAGTGTCATTGATGTATGCAGACAGTTATTGAGAAACCCATGGGATCTACCTTGTTTGCAATACCTGTTTGATGTGTGCTATGATATGTCTCTTTATTCATTCGTGGGACATGGATGGTGCTGTCTGGCCAACTTTTATTGCCCATCTCTAGTTGTAGTTTTGAAGGTGTTGTTTAGATGTTTTCATGAACCGTTGCAGACCATATGCTGAATGCAGTCCTATTATGCCTTTAGGGAGGGAATTCCAGCATTTTGATCACCGTAAAAGGTTTAACAAATGTTAATTGTTGTTATGAAAAGTAAGTTGTATATGGATTAGATATTGTATTAGCATTCTGGTAAAATACAGTCTCGTTGTATCTTCAAAGCCACAGCTTTGTTGTCTTCTAAGTACCTGTAACTTTTGACTCGTTGAAAAATATAAACATTACTAATTTATGGAAAGTTCATTGCATAGTTTGGTGGTCTCATAGTGGAAATAACATGGTGATCGTGACTGACACCATAACATAAAATTGGTGATCTGATCAAGGATCGTAACAACTGCCATTCCCAGAATTTGACAGTAGAGTAGTTGGTCATAACTAATGTTTGCTAAAAGTTCAGTGTATCTTCAGGTGTCACTGTATAGGACAAAGTTCAAAATTTTATAGTTTAGTTTATATTGTCCTCTTCTCTTTTATTCTTTATTGTAATGTGAGCATGACTGACTAGGCTATTTGTGGCTGATCTCATGGTGGTTGTCAACTATTTGCTTCAATCACTTGTCCATTCAGTGCTATGTTCCAGCTGTTCCAACATTTTGTTTCAGTAACAGTGAAGGAGGTCACTGAGATGTGTCCTGTTGTTATATACAGGGTTCTTCATGATTCCTGACCAGCGTCTATTCAGATATTTATCTGTTAATGTTGAACTTATGATAGATGATCTTACACTGTATGAATCCTTCCAAAACTATCTCCAAAGTCCATG